CATGCAATAGGCCGTCTTCGCCACGGGTCTGGCGGAGGTGGGCTTACCGTTTACAGGGTCACGTACAGTCACTGAAGCTGCGAGTCTCCTTTCCCTGTAAGTCTATTTTTCACAGAATAGAAGCAACATCAGTGACCTGAGCTGTCCTCCTCTTACCTTCACCTGAGACCCTCGGTCCAGTTTTTATTCTTTTCTGTTTTGCTGATTGTTTTATAACCACAACAAATGAGTACAGAGAATGCCCTGTTTGAAACATCACAATAAAGGTTCAAGATCAAGGTGTTCCTTAGGCAAGGCTGAAGATTTCAGTCTCTGGTATTTGGAATTTAGGCTGCAATCCTTATTTTTGGATGGATCACGGTGTGTGGGACAGTCCCTGCTTTTAACCAGATTTGAACAGAAGAATGGCCACCTGGTCCAGGTAGAAGGAGATGAAGTGTTTGGTTTCATGTGTCACGTAACTACCGAAGTTCCTCCCCACGACGCAGTGCCAGGTGGGGCCGCACATCTTGTCAATTTTTTTTCCCTTTTCAAATTACAAGAGAAAGTAGAAGTGAGCCAGCTGGACTGCGTGGGCTCAGGAAACAGGTTACAGAGGCAGAAGGGCCCTTGGAGCTTAGGAGGGGAAGGAAGGCAAAGGTAACGGGTCAGAGGGGAGAAGGGGGGAGGGAAAGGCACTGCGTGCTCCTGAGAGGGAGAACAAGCCTCAGCTCCCCTCACTATGGCCGCAGTGTCCTCCATCTATGTTCCAGCACTTTCCAGGAGTCCCGCGGCATCTCCTCCACACGGGCGGGTTTGATTACCGCCTTCCTGTCGCACATGATTACCGTGGAGCAGGGCTTGGCCAGTGGCAACGGCCTCCCGGGGGAGCGGCTGGTGCATCTCCCCCCTTCCAGTTTTTATTGTCTTTGTGTCCAAAGTAAACTAGGTGACTAATTTGTATAAAATGTTATTTTGCCACAAGAGACAGAAATAAAGATTTTCACAGTATATGTACCCTCTTGTCTCCTGACTGCGCTCCTTGTGTTGCTAGAGGGAGCAGGTATGGGGTGGGTGGCCTTTCTGTAAACAGTTGGTGCATAGAGCAGTTTTATACAATCATGATACAGGGCATTCCCATCACCCCCAAAAAATTCCCTCAAGTTCCTGGTCAGCTCTCTCCTTCCACTCCAGCCCCTTGCAACCATTGTCCGATTTCTGTCTCTATTGGAAAAACTGTATACCTTTAATGTAAAATGTATATTCATGTTTAAGGTCACAAATGGTCTGGTTTAGCCTGCCTGGCCAGTGTGGCTCAGTGGTTGAGCATTGACATATGAACCAGGAGGTCATAGTTCGAGTCCCGGACAGGGCATGTGCCCGGGTTGCAGCCGCAGTCCCCCAGTGTGGAGTGTGCAGGAGGCAGCTGATCAATGTTTCTCTCTCATCGATGTTTCTGACTCTCTATCCCTCTCTCTTCCTCTCTGTAAAAAATCAATAAAATATATATTTAAAAAAAATAAAATAAGTCGTGTTTAGCCTTCTTGGCCAGTGTGGCTCAGTGGTTGAGCATTGACATATGAACCAGGAGGTCATAGTTCGATTCCCGGTCAAGGGCTCATGCCCGGATTGCGGGCTCGATCCCCAGTGGGGGGTTGCCACACGAGACAGAAATAAAGATTTTCACAGTATATGTACCCTCTTGTCTCCTGACTGCGCTCCTTGTGTTGCTAGAGGGAGCAGGTATGGGGTGGGTGGCCTTTCTGTAAACAGTTGGTGCATAGAGCAGTTTTATACAATCATGATACAGGGCATTCCCATCACCCCCAAAAAATTCCCTCAAGTTCCTGGTCAGCTCTCTCCTTCCACTCCAGCCCCTTGCAACCATTGTCCGATTTCTGTCTCTATTGGAAAAACTGTATACCTTTAATGTAAAATGTATATTCATGTTTAAGGTCACAAATGAGTCAATTTTAAAATAAGTCTGGCTCTAACTGGTTTGGCTCAGTGGATAGAGCATCAGCCTACGGACTGAAAGGTCCCAGGTTCAATTCCGGTCAGGGGCATGTACCTTGGTTGTGGGCACATTCCCAGTGGGAGATGTGCAGGAGGCAGCTGATCAATGTTTCTCTCTCATCGATGTTTCTGACTCTCTATCCCTCTCTCTTCCTCTCTGTAAAAAATCAATAAAATATATATTTAAAAAAAATAAAATAAGTCTGGTTTAGCCTGCCTGGCCAGTGTGGCTCAGTGGTTGAGCATTGACATATGAACCAGGAGGTCATAGTTCGATTCCCGGTCAGGGCATGTGCCCGGGTTGCAGGCCCAGTCCCCCAGTGTGGAGTGTGCAGGAGGCAGCCAATCAATAATTCTCTCTCATCATTGATGTTTCTATCTCCCTCTCCCTTCCTCTCTGAAACCAATAAAAAAAAAGTATTTTTTTAAAGTGTGGTTTAGATGGTCTGGGACACCTGAAGCAATTACTGGCCTCTGTCCACAAACACCACTCACTTATTCCTCCTCTGCGTTCCCTCTTTGCCTCTACACCTGCGGTTCTCAACCTGTGGGTCACGATCCCTTTGGGGGTCGAACAATCCTTTCACAGGGGTCGCCTAAGACCATCGGAAAACACATATATAATTACATATTGTTTTTGTGATTAATCACTATGCTTTATGTTCAATTTGTTAACAATGAAAATACATCCTGCATAGCAGATATTTACATTACGATTCATTAACAGTAGCAAAATTACAGTTAAGAAGTAGCAACGGAAATAATTTTATGGTTGGGGGTCACCACAACATGAACTGTATTAAAGGGTCGCGGCGTTAGGAAGGTTGAGAACTGCTCTACACAGAGCTAGTGGCCAACGGGGTGGGGAGTAATGGAAAGGTGAGGAAGACCTCAGAGAATTTGCCAAAGTCAGTCCTGCATTTGGCCCTTGGAGCTTAGGGGAGAGAGAGGCAGGGAAAGGCTGTGGGCTAGGGGCTTTCCTTTAAATTGAAGCATTTCTTTCAAATGAAAGGTAACATTAAGGACTTTGCTGTATCTTTTGATCGATCTCCAGGAAGTAGAACAAGGTCTTGGCAGGAGACAAAAAAAATTAAAAAATAAACAAGAGGCTCTGGCCAGGCGGCTCGGTTGGAGCAACACCAAAAGGTTGCAGATTCACTTCCTAATCAGGGCACATACCAGGTTGCGGGTTCAATCTCCAGTCAGGTTGCAAACAGAAGGCAACTGATCCTCTCTCTCTCACATCGATGTTTCTCTCTCAAAGCAATAAAAACAGTCTCAGGTGAGGATTTAAAATAATCCTATATAATAAAAGCCTAATATGCTAAGTGTCTGGTCGTCTGTTCAACCAATCAAAGCCAAATATGCTAAGGCAGCTCAACCGCTCACTATGATGTGCACTGACCGCCAGGGGGCAGATGGTCGACCAGTCACTAGGATGTGCACTGACCGCCAGGGGGCAGATGGTCGACCAGTGACTAGGATGTGCACTGACCGCCAGGGGGCAGAGGGTCGACCAGTCACTAGGATGTGCACTGACCGCCAGGGGGCAGAGGGTCGACCAGTCACTAGGATGTGCACTGACCGCCAGGGGGCAGAGGGTCGACCAGTCACTAGGATGTGCACTGACCACCAGGGGGCAGGCGCTGGGACCCGTAGGTCTGGCTGATCAGGACTGAGTGAGACCCGCTGGACACGCCCTGGAGCCCTCCCCCAGCCACCCGCCCCATGGGCCCCCATCAGGGCAGACCAGCCTGGCCCCACCCTTGCACAAATTCGTGCACCAGGCCTCTAGTAATCCTGTCTAATAAAGAGGGAATATGCTAAATTGACCCTCACACCGTCACAAAGATGGCAGTGCCCACAGCCAATGAGGAGGGAATATGCTAATTGCCCTGCCCTCAAAGATGACAGCGCCCAGTCCCCTCAGCCCTGCTGGGGCGGCAGGCGCCAGAGGCACTGGCCAGCCTTGGATGGCAGCTGCCTGAGGCACAAGTAACCAGGGCCGACGAGGCTGGCGCTGCCGGCAGTGGCAGCAGCAGAGGTGTGATGGGCCCTCGCCTTCCCCTGATCGCCAGTGGCGCCGGGACTGTGAGGGGGGCAGGCCGGGCTGAGGGACCCCCTCCAGGGCATGAATTTTCACGCTGGGCCTCTAGTTAATAATCAAGAACAGAAGTTTGCTTCCCAGGTGAAGGCTGGGAAGGCCAAGATCAAGGTGCTGCGCCCTTGGTGGAAGGGCCCGAAGGCCGGGCAGGCGCCTGGCGGCTGGTGGGGGGAAGGCGCC